ACAGAACTCTAAGACCTTGTCCTGCGGATTGCGGGGCCAAATAGCAAGACTCTCACCTGTCTTGTAGGCCACGTTGGTGCCTTCAATCTTAAATTCATAATGCCGAATATCTCTATCGTACTTGGCATCACCAGTGAGTATGTCATTGGTGAGAAGTGTAAGTCGATTGGCACCAGGAGGGATAATGTCGTCATCCGACACAGGGGGCTTTTCCAAAGTGCCTGGAGACACATCAACTCGGTACGATGGTGCTGGAATGTCTTGGCTCAAAGGCAAAGCTGGAGCTCCCAGAACTTTCCAAAGCTCTGGCAACCAGGCTTCCCAGCCGGTGTAATATCGATCCTCATCGCGATCGTCACCCACACCGCGCTTCAGCATGCGCTGACCACCAAGCTCACCCAAGCGAGTGTCAAAGCCAGCTGCAGCCACACAGAACTGACTGTATGTTGAGTCACCCAAGCCGAAAACGCAGAATTTCACACCTGCCAACCAGGACATCGGCAAATCTGCAGACTGAAGCTTCAGCCAAGTCTGTTTGCAATTTGCTGGGTACTCACCCAATCCACAGGTCGACACCACCAGGATGAGAATCTTCTGATTCGGCAGCTCATCAAACTCAAAGTCATCTAATGAGCTCACCGTGGCCTTCAAACCACGAGCAATGAGGTCTTGCATCAGATTCTTTGCCTGCTCTTCCGCATTTCCAGTCTCACTGCCATAAAGCACAGTGATGGAATCACCCGAGCTCTTAGCATCTGAAAGTCCTTCGACCAACTTGCTGAACTGTCCCTCCAAGTCTTCTTTGTTCAAAACCTGCAACAAGTGATTCTTCTGCACCAAATTCTCTTGCAGCTTGTTGTCCAACTCCTCTGCATGCTTAGGGTCTCGGCGCATCACTGCAGCAAAGCGGTTCTCCTGCACTGAATTCGGCAACTAAACCGACCCTAGATCATCTAGATCTTAAACTGAATAACTGACTCTCAAAACAAATCAGAGTTTGTTGATGTTATGTGTTTTCCCCGTCCTTTGCCAAGAACTTGTGAAGATCACCCTTGATCTTGCGGCTATCCAGCTGGAAGGGATTGTTTCCGTGTGCAGCCAACTCCGGATTGTAACGGTAGAGGGGCCAGTAACCACTGTCCACGGCCATCTGACAGTGCTGGATGGACTCTGCCATTGGGAAACCCTGACTGATGCATGGAGTGTAGGAGAGAATGATGCTTGGCCCCGGGTAGGCATCTGCCTCAATCAAAGCTCGCACAGCTTGCTGAGGATTCACATGCACGCAAATGCTTGCGACATAGACGTTTTTGTATGTCATGGCCATTTGTCCCAAATCCTTCTTCTGCGTCAATTTGCCACTCTCCGCAAACTTCGCCATGGCTCCCTTGGGTGTTGCCTTTGATGCCTGACCGCCAGTGTTGCTGTACATCTCTGTGTCAAGAACCAGAATGTTCACGTGCTCTTCACTGGCAATCACATGGTCCAAACCGCCATAGCCAATGTCATATGCCCAGCCATCTCCACCCACAATCCAAAAGCTGCTGCGCCCAAACATATCTTCCCTCAACTGTTGAGTGTAAAGAAGATCTTGCATCGGACGGTTCTTAAAGAAACTCCACCAGTTTAAAAAGAGTTGAGAAATCAAACCAAGCATGACCTAGCAAATGCTCGCTTCTGCTTCTTTCAAGCGGCAAGTCATAGAGGTTGTGGATCTTGGGGTGTTCGCCCTTTTCCTGCACATGGGCGAGCAGCACGAGCAGCTCAGCAGCATGTTGCATGTTGCTCCTGATAAGTAGAAATGTCAAGTCCGGCAGTCCTTCTCCAGCAAAGGCACCAACTTTTCCATGATCTGGTGATAGATGCCTGGGCTGTGTTTGCTTCACCACATTTCGTGAGTGAACAGTGTAAAACCTCGTCCGTGGTGGATATAGACAAGGAACTGCGGCCCTTTGGCAAAAGCAAGTCATGCATCTGCTCCTACCGTCAACGTCAGTCAAGAGTTGGAAAACACACAGCACAACCCCCACGCGGCTTCCCACACTCCATTTTCAACCCGTCCTGGCGCATCACCAAGTACTGTTGCAACGCCTGGCGCAGCTCATCGGACATCTTCACAGACTGGTCCGCCAAGGTGTCCTGTGAGCTGAAATATGCAACGTTCTCTCACCGTGACGAACCGCCGTGAGATGTGCACGTCAAAAGGAACAGGACCAGCGACCGAAAGACCTTGTGAATCTTCCGCCGTCCCCTCTCAACAGTTTGAAATCGCCAACACGGAAACCTTTTCTTGACCTTGAGATATAGGTCAGTCAAAATCAGTCGATCTATAGAGCAAACACCTCGTAGAGGTTCTCAGGTAGATATTGGCATGTCTTTCACAAAATGGCTCTTCTATTTGACTTGACTCGCCAACGCAGAAAAGAGAGCATGGCATCAGGATAGGTGAAATGTGGTGGAATTTTGGTGTAAGACTGTTAAACATGCAATTACCTGCAATTACACGGCATGAGAATGGCATCAGGTAAGCTGAGCTGAGAATAGATGTGAGATCTACTCAACGATATGGGAGGCAAGAAAGGAGCAGGAGAAGAAATTGGACAACACATGACAAATCATGGGAATGATCGAGGCAGTGCAGCTCAAATTTGTGAGACATAATATGGAAAAACTCCGACAAATGAACAAAACTAGACTATATTAAATGAGATGGCATGGCATGAGCTGTGCCTTTGGTTCAGATTTGCATAAGTTAAGGTCAATTAAGCATATCCTGAAGATTCCTAAAGCTTATCCTGGTTTGCGAGGCCAAGTTGGGATCTTGTCTACAAGTAGCTCGCAGTTTATGTGTTTATGAAAAGTGTTCACCAGAACCGAATCTGCTTCATATGAGCAGCTTCTTCACGCGTCGCCTTCCCTGAATCTCTACAGTAAGTGATGCGAGACGGGAGGGGATGAAACATGAACTCGGTGAAAACTGATACTAGTAACAAGTGCATCGCTACTAGTAACAGGTGCCTTACTAGTAGTAACAAAGAAGCTATTAGAAACAAGTGCATCGCTACTAGTAACAGGTGCCTTACTAGTAGTAACAAGAAGCTAATAGAAACAAGTGCCTTACTACTAGTAACAATACGGATCCGATCGGACCACCGGGAACTCAAACCTGAAGCAATGCTCTCCAAACACTTTGCTGTGGTTTTCTATGCGACTTCAGGATACTTCAGGCACCTCAAGCTATCTGTGACCCATTGGCGGTAAGGGGCAGGCCTCCACTTGCATTGCGAGGTAGTCGCGGCGCTGCTTGAAAGCCTTGCAGGATTTGCTTCAGAACAGGAAGTTTTTTGCAATCCAATGGATGTGACAACTGTCACACAGGCCTTGCGCATACCGAAGCCAAACTCGGCATTGTCTTCAAACAAAGAATTGGCCCAAGCCGGACCTTCTCCCTTGCTGTTCGTAGTGTAGGGGAAGGACGGGTTGGAACCACCCCAAATGGAGGAGCAGCCTGCAAAACTTGCCACAAATGAAACATCCAGACTTGTCAAACAAGCTGCAAGGAACGAAAAACCACATGCAACAGTTTGAATGTATGTCACCTGTGGCATTGGCAATCACCAGTCGATCACCAAAGAGCTGGGTCATGAGCTTCACATGAGGTGTCTCGCCACATCCTTCGCAAGCTCCACTGAACTCCAGGTATGGCTTTTGGAACTGAGAGCCCTTCACAGTGGTCTTGTCAATCTCATCACCGCGATCTGGAAGCGAAACAGCAAAGTTCCAGTTGTCCTCCTCTTCCTCAATCACCTTCTCAGCCGGACCCAAAGTCAGTGCATCCGCAGGGCAAATGCGCACGCACAGCTCACAACCGGTGCAATCCCATGGGGAAACTTGAATGCGATACTGATAGTTGTCCAAAACACCTCCTCCAATTGCTGCACGACTGCCTTCCTTGAAGGTGGCAGGTGCCTTTCCAAGCTCTTGGGTAGTCATCAGGAATGGTCGAACTGCAGCATGAGGGCAAATCAGACTGCACTTGTTGCACTGTGTGCACTTGTCCATATCCACCTTGGGCACCTGGATAGCAATACCACGCTTCTCGTATTGACTGGTACCGCATGGGACTCGTCCACCAGGTACAAAAGCACTGACTGGCAAGGAGTTGCCATCCAGGTTGTTGCAAGGTGCTTGAACCTGGTTGGCAAACTGCGAGGCATTCTGCACTTCAGGGAACATTCGCGGCCCCTTGCCATAGGCCACTTTGTTGCCCTTCGAATCCGAGGCCTGCCAGGGGTTGACATTAACACATTGTTGCGTCATGAGTCACATGTCTGACATGAGGGCATTGGGCATGGTATAATGCGCACTACATGGCATTACTATTTGACATGTCATGCCGGGTGCCCTTTGCTTTCTCCCAGACCTCCTTATCAATTGCCAAGGATGCCCAAGCTGCTGGAACTTCACATTCTACAATGCCCTCAATGGATGCATCAACACCATCAATGTTCATCTTGACCACTTTGTCACCCTGACAACGAACAACTTGCTTGAAGCTCATTAGCATGAGTTTGTGCAACCTCATACACGTTCAAACATAGAAGCGTTGGTAACTTGCAGTCTATCAGTATTCTACCTTCTTGCCGTACATCTTCTTGATGCTCTTCTTCAGCATCTCAACTGCCTCTTCGTAGGGCATCACCGCACCTAATCCGGGTGGCCAACCGGTTGATGTCAGTTGTCACGAACCTCCAAGACAAGGCTACACAAATCTCAGGCTGCCACTGAGTTTGAAGAAGACAGTCTGCATGATCATGTTGATGCGCTTGCCAAGTCCAGCCTTCACATGCAAACAGATTAGAAGAGTCAAACAGTGAAACAGCTTACAAAGCACAAACTGCCACACCCTCGGCACCGCCTTCACGGCAATCTTGGTAGCATCGATAATGTACAACTTTGCCTGCAAAGAGTGTACAACACACACACACACAAAATCCACGCAAATGTATGTATGTATCAATATAACTACTTTCATTCGCAAATGCGTACTTTACATACTCCTGAGTAAGGATCTAGCAGGCATGGCCCGCCTTCTTCTCTGCCAAATCCCGACGCATTTTGGCTGGCAGCTGCTTCTCCAAGTCACTGACATCCCAAGAGCAATTGATGACGCATACTGCGTTCTGTTTCAAGTACCGTGTCATGTCCTCGGGCAAACATGCAGTTGAAATCCTACAATAAGAAGCTCAAGACGTGCGATTCTGCACTTGCTTTGCGATACCTCAAGAGTTTTGCCAAGCGACATAGTTGTGCACGTAGCTTGGCTTGTGAATGGCCATATAGTCGGCAGCACGGACGTTGTATGGAGCATGAATTGGTTTCGGTCCAAACCTGAGGTGGCTGATGGTGACGCCGCCGCTCTTCTTGGCATCATACTCAAAGTATGCCTAGCAAGCCAGGGAAATCAAGGACAAGCAAGGATAACACATCGGAACAAGCACAAATCAACATATCAACCAGAAAAGCACTGGAAGTCTTTGCCTGCGCATGAAGCTCCGTTCCCATGGCGATCATCTTCACTGCACTCTTGTTCGCACCAACGGTACCATCACTGCCAAGTCCATAGAACATGCATTCCGTGGTGCCTTCTGGTAGGACATTGAGCCAAGGACCCACAGGCAAAGAGAGGTGTGTCACATCATCTTCGATGCCAACAGTGAATCTTGGCTTGGGGCTTTCCTGGGCAAGATTCTCATAGATCGAAAGCACCATGTTGGGTGTGAACTCCTTAGAACCCAACCCATAGCGACCTCCGATAACGACAATCTCAGAGTGGGCGCTGGAGTGGAGCATGGAGGCAACCTCCAGCAAAAGTGGCTCTCCTTGTGAACCTTGTTCTTTTGTACGATCCAACACGCAAATGCGCTCCGTTGTGGTTGGCAAAGCGGCCAAAAAGCGGGAGCTGTCCCAGGGTCGGAAGAGGCGTACCTTCAGAACACCGACGCGTTGTCCCTTGTGTTTGGCCAAGAAGCTCGCAGTCTCTCCGCAAGTAACTGCTGCACTGCCCATGACCACGATCACATGCTTGGCCTCTGGGTGGCCTTCGTAGCCATAAAGAGCAAAGTGCAAACCAGTTTTCTCTTGGACCAACTTGCCCTTCTCTTCAAAGAGATCTGCCAAGCCATCATAGAAGGTGTTACCTGCCTCAACGCATTGGAAGAAGATATCAGGACCTTGCGAGGTGCCTTGCACGTGCGGGTGACGTGGGTTCATTGCTAGGTCATGATGTTCCTTCACGGCCTCCCAATTGATGAAGGACTTCATGGTATTGTAGTCAATGAGTTTCACCTTGTTCACTTCATGACTGGTGCGGAAGCCATCAAAAAAGTGTTGCACAGGAACCCTGCGCTCCATAGACACAAGGTGGGCCACGATTGCATTCACCTGTGCCATTTCAACTGACTCTGAAGCCAGCATTGCCCATCCGGTCGATCGGCAAGCCATCACGTCACTATGATCTCCAAAAATGGACAATGCCTGTCCTGCCAAAGCACGGGCAGCCACATGCATGACACAGGGCAGCAACTCGCCCGCGATCTTGTACATGTTTGGGATCATCAAAAGAAGGCCTTGACCTCAGCAAACTGACACTACTATACAAGGATTCTATATATATTGTTATAATAGTTATAGGTATAATTATATGTATATACCTCAGGAATCCAATCTCAAAGGTACGACCAGGTATTGGTCAGCAACATTGGTTAATTGACTTTTCTTCTTTGAAACTTCAGCCACAAGACTCGCGGTGAAGGTAGTGCTGAAAGCGCCAGCTTTCAATGAACCGTGCAAGGCCCCAGCGGCCCCAGCTTCACTTTGCATCTCCGTCACACTGAGTTTCTGTCCATAGCAGTTGATGAGACCTGCGCAAAACAAAATGAACATAGAAAAGAAGGAAAGGAATAATTTACCTTGAACAACAACAGCAACCATACATCTGATATTTAAAAACAGCAAAAAACTTGGTCTTGTAAAGTCTTCAGGCCTTGTGCAGCCCATTCATCGACCATCTCTCCCATAGGAGAGCTTGGAGTAATGGGATAAATGAAGGCGCAGTCACTGAGGGCGTAGGCAACGTGAGCTGCAGCCTGGTTCCCATCAATGCATGCCACAGACCCTTCTGCAGCTTCAATGATGTCAGTATCGGCGCACTGGTGTACAATCGTCTTGTTCTCGGCTTGAAACATTTTCCTCTGCACTTCTTTGGCTTTCATGAACTGCTCATACTCGATGTCTGCTGCACCAGAACCGGCTCCTAATGGTTCCAATCTCTGAGGAGTTTCTTCCTGACGTTCCTGACCTCTCATCAGAAACTGAAGGCAAAGACCACCATAAGGACCAAAGGGGCTGGTCCTTAGCCAAAAACGATCTTTGCTCGACTGTCCTATATTCACGCAATTTGCCCCTACTTGCTCGTGAATTACCTGCTGAAGAACCACTGAAATAAGATTGCCAAGGCCAACCGCATCATGCAGGCTTCTAGGATTCTAGGTTTCTCACTGTCCGCGGAGAGCCATCACTAGAAACACTCTAGTGCGCCGGCACGTCTGGGATTCTTGCTTGGTCACTTGAGCTTCAAATTGCTACCAGCCAGGTACAACGCTTCCAAAACAAAAAAATAACAACTTGCTTGGTTGGCCCTTGCAGTGGCTTGCTCTTGCAGTTGCTTTGGTAGAAATCACTGACGACCCTTGACTACCCAACGGCACCATGAAGCCAAATAGATGACGATTTCACTTTGCAACGTGTGCAATCTATGACCTTTCGCTGCTAGTGGTGTGTTTTGTTGGAGTTGATAAGTGAATGGGAAGTGTCTTTGGGCTTTCTAGACCTTTTGTTGGAGCAATTGGAGCAAAACATGCCTCGTGTTTAAATGTTCCAAAGCTTTTCTAGGAAAGAGCCACAGATTGCTTGAACTCCTTTGACGTATGCCTTGGAGGTCGCGATGCATTGGATCACAAACTGTTGCCCTGGGGCCGACTACCTCCAATTGCCATGTGTGAGGCTGCAACTACAGTGCCAAAGCCATGCACATGGAACGCAATGCACTTCACAGCTCCTACTCTGCCTACCTAAACCGATGATTATCACGGGCTATCATGTTCCAAATTGATGAATACAAACAGTCTTGTGCAAAGAATCAGTGTGAAATACATACCCGGAGGCATGTTTGATTCGCTGATCTGACTTTCCGCCTGTCATCAACCAAGCTAGCGTTTCCCCTCCAGTACATGATTGGAGTCACCCAAAAAGTAAAAAAACGCTGTTGGGATACACTTGGTAAGGCACGCAGGAGCATGTCACTTTGTTCCACAACTCGGAAAAGCGCTGATCACAGCCTTCCAAAGGACATGCTTTCAGCAGCAAAGCCCTCTTTCAGTTACACACTGTGCTACATTGTGCTACCATCAGATTGAAAGTCGCCGCAAGGTCAGGGAAGTTGGCCTCTGAAGGAGCGCAACGAAGGTGAAACTTACTCGAGATATTAACAGAGACTGAATGAAACCTGTCGAAATATCGAAAACCATGAATGAACATACATACTTTCCATTCCATTCCATTCCATGTACCACCTGTCTTTTTCCAATGAGCCAACGCCATTGATCACCCTTGGTGAATCTTGGCACCCGCTAAGGTCTTCAGCCGAGAAGACTGACACGACAAAATCAGGTCGGTCCAGCAGGCAAAAAGCATTTGTCATATTTTGTCATGAAGCATCGTGATATTTTATTTATGCAGCGGTACAATGGTACAATGCATGATGTGGGGTTTTTTAGCTGCAGCATGCAGTGGGCAAACCCTCTGCCGCTGAACCTAAGCTCCAACCTGCTTTCAGGATTGGGCTTAACTTTGCAAGGCCAGTTGCCCAAAATGGATCCATCAAGAAACAAGATTTGAAGAGTTGATCTTAAAAGGGATAAACGAAAAACATCAACACCGTTCCAGCAACATTTCGAGCATCGTGGCGTCTGAACGGAAAACATGATCGAGCGGCGCAAAAGCTGCCAGGAATGCTGACCCCTCCTATCCGGAAGGAATGCAATGCACTTGCTGCAAGCTGCATGATTTCTAGGAGGCTTCTCTTCACAATTGCTACAACAGGCTGCAGGCCTACAACCTTGAACAGCTTCTAATCAAGCCTCCAGCAAAGGCAGCAATGAAAATCGACACCCGATGCATGGCTGCAAAAGCTCAAGAACCAGCCATACACACAACAAACAAATCTAATGTAAAGTCAGGATGAATAAATCCCCCCTAGTTAACCCGAGCCCACAAAGCCGCCAGAAATTGCCCAAATTAAAAGTATTATTGGCTGTTGATTTCCCCCCCTGTGGTCTAGTTTTCTACCAACAATCCCCCCCAGTTAATCCGAGCCCACAACCAGGTCAATTTTTCGTTTTGCTACTACTACTACTGCTACTGCTACTACTACTACTACTGCTGCTACTGCTGCTACTGCTGCTACTGCGGCTCCTGCTCCTGCTCCTGCTCCTGCTCCCGCTCCTCCTCCCGCTCCTCCTCCCGCTCCTCCCGCTGCTCCTGCTGCTCCTGCTGCTCCTCCTCCTCCTCCTGCTGCTGCTGCTGCTACTCCCACGACCACCACCACCACCACCACCATCACCATCACCACCTACCACCTACCACCTACTACCTACTACATGTTTGATGAAATCCTTTAAAATGTCTAGGGCTCAGGGCCTATAAATTGCCTTATTAAAAACCAATTAAAAACAATCATTTGACAAGCTCGCAAAGGGTACCCCTCACAAGGGCTGGTCCCCCATCAATAATCAGCACTACTACCCCCTATTAATTTGATCCTGTGTCCCTGGCCTTTTCTTTGTGCTTGTTTAAACTTGTTGTGACTACTACTACCACTACTGCTGCTGCTACTGCGACTACCACTACCACTACTACTGCTGCTGCTGTTGCTGCTGCTCCTACTACTACTATTATTACTACTACCACCACAACCACTACTACTACAACTACTACCACTACCTACTACCTACTACCTACTACCTACTACCTTTACCTACTACCTACTACCTACTACTACTACCTACTACTACCTACTACCTACTACCTACTACCTACTACCGACGACGACTGCGACTACGATGGCTCCCTGAGCCGATAATTCAGGGGGAGTGGACCTCATGAGCGGTATCTCATATCATCTTGACCTTGCTGACCTACTATGTGGGGGGGGGATTTATTAATCCGGTCTTTGCATTAATATGTTTCTAGTAGCTTCTTGCTCCTAGTAGTACGGGCTCCTAGTAGCGTCCGATCGCTCCTAGTAGCGATGCCACGAGCCCCGTTCGTAGCTTCTTGTTTGTATGTGTCACCGTTGATAGCCTGCCTCAAAAGGCATCGCTGGTAACTTTAGAGGGATGAACACTTTGTGCGCCGATTAATTGAGCTTCCTGAGATGCCGCCCGGAGTATCACGAACATCCGCTGATGCGCTCAGTGCGTTGCACAAAGCAAAAACAGCAAGAATGTTCTCTGAATTTGTCTCACCTACTGCTACTCGCATTGCCCGGGATTCGCGGCCAGGCACAGCAGTTTTCATGGCAAACAAGGAGTTCAAATATACCAAATCAGATCTTTCAATGTCATGCTTCAGGCCGCTGCGGGCTCAACTCCACATGCCTGGATTCGCCTTGCAAGGTTTACCACTTTACGGCACCACAATTGTTCGTGGTCCTTCATCAATCTCCTCGGGCAAGAGCGCTTAGAGGGTGCAATGGTTTTGGCAAGGGTGACCTGACTAGAACGTGAAAACTGAGCTACTCCAATGCTGGTGAAGTGTTTGTGAAACTATGTGAAACTTGAATCAATCCTTGGGCTGCAAATCCTCTTCGCAGTTCTTGCTCTGGGACGATGTATTTGTCTCCTGAACATGTCAGAATGCTTTCAAACGATACCCAATTGGGTCTTTCCTATCACACATGTTCCAAGTCTAGCGCTGACAAGGGACTACGCTAAGTGTTGGAACTTGGCTGCGAGTGACCAGGTAGCATACAGGGAAGATGAGATATGCTTGTTAAGTTTCCCTTAAAATCTAGGACCGGAGCCAAATCATTAGTGTGAGCGCTTCTTCAAGGAAGCTCCCCCACGCTCTCAGGCGCTTCCTTGAAGACGTGTGAATTATCCTGCATCCAGACGTAGTAGCTTAAGTAGCTAGGGTCGCTTTCCCTTAATTAAGTAGACGCCTACTTGATTAAAAAGGGACGGGCAAAAAAAAACAACACAATGAGACTCGTCGGAACTCCTCTTTGCCGTTGTTGTCAATCGCGTCAAGCCCCGTGTCTTTCTTGCCCGATCTGCTTGCCCACCAACGATCGATAGGAATATGCCCTCAATCTCCGAAGGAATGCGAAACAATGGCGTTGCAAACTCGGATTGAAAGACAGTTATTCCGAAGTCAAAAAAGTCAAGCGGCCAAAGCTGTTTTCTGGTCCTGGCAATCCAAAGCACTTTCCGGAAGCAAGTGTGTGTGTGTGTGTGTGTGTGTGGGTGTGTATGGACACCCTGGAGTGAAGGGTCTGCAAAACTTTGACGTTTTGTTCTGGCGTGTTCACTACCACTACCACTACCACCACTACTACTACTACTACTACTACTACTACTACTACTACTCTTACTCTTACTCTTACTCTTACTCTTACTCTTACTCTTATACTTACTTACTTACTTACTTACCTACCTACCTACTGAGGATGGAGACACCAAGACTACTTCTCCACCAAGCAGCCTACTTAATCGTGATCTTGGATTAAAGGTGCTCTTGTACTCCGAAACGCGTTGCAAAGACATGTAAAGACTAAGGTTTTCTCGACTTACAGTAGGCTTACGGTCGGCCGACCGATCTTGGTCCTTTTGCATGTACGTTCCATTCAATCCATGGTGTGCAGTGAGGCTGTCCTGCTGTCCACAGCAGCGACATGAAGAACACCAATGAGAATAGGAAGGAGTACCTGATGGCACGAGTGGTAGCATGAAAAAACATTGAGATGTACTGCTTGGCTTCACTTCTTCTGTTCCTTTTATTCCAAAGCTCATGAAGGGCACATAATCGTGACGCAAATGAGCAGTGCCATCTTGATGAAGAAATAGAACCAACAAACAAACATGGTGGCACCCGCCAACATCGTGGTGATAGCACCTGGAGGCAAAGCGAGAGAAACTTGTGGCAACTGCAGCAAGTCCATCTGCAAAATATCACACAAATAGAGATTTAAACATACAGGTGCTTGGCCCCTTTCATACGGCCTTTTTAAATGGAGCCTTGTTAGAGGGGCCCAAGTCCACCTTCCTGTCTCTATAAACCATATGTTACGATTCAAATCGCCTGCGAAGATTGTAGAGCCCATGTTGCGAATTGCAAACTTGGCACGTTCATCACCTGAGCCAAGTCGTGAACACCCGTGTGGCTTGTGGCCAAAATGCATTCCTTACTAGTAACAAGTGCCTTACTAGTAGTAACAAGAAGCTACTAGTAACAAGTGCATCGCTTCTAGTAACAAGTGCCTTACTAGTAGTAACAAGTTATCACCGATCCGAGTCACGCGTCTGGTGGCCAAAATGCATTCCTTCGCTATACATGTGCGCCAAATGGACCACATAATCCACTGAATAACCGATCACGATAACACCAGCAATCGCTTCACCTCAGTCTCACCAAGTTGGTCATCTTCAGTCTTCGATAAAGGAAACAAAACTCGTTCGTTTTTGTTGAAAAGAGAGTGTTTTTATTGTTTCACTATGTGTCATTTCCGTGTTCAAAGCTTCCAGGTTCAAAACGGTCAAAACAAATCAAAGCAACATCTTGAGAATTGGATCAGTCCCTCCATTTCGCTGACGGCCTAGCTTGTGAATGTTCTCTGTCTAAGGCCACCACCGACACCAAGATCCCAGTCCATGGCACTCTTGCAGAATCCCAAGACACAAAGAACCTTGGCTTCAAAAGAGCAAATTGCACAGCCAAACTGGATCTCCATCAGCAGAGATGTAGGAGCAAGAAGCTACTAGTAACAAGTGCATCGCTTCTAGTAACAAGTGCCTTACTAGTAGTAACAAGGACGCTAGTAGGAACAAGTGTCTTACTAGTAGTAACAAGTGCCTTACTAGTAGTAACAAGGACGCTAG